AATAGTATTGAAACAATCTTCTTTATTTGTAATATTTTCTCCTTTAATCTTAACATGATACCTTTTCTTGATATGACCTAACTTGTCATATATATAATACTTGATCTTCTTTCGATTTACACCATTGTTTGAAGAAGACTCTGGCTTGTAATTAGCATCATCATTTATCTCTTTATCTTTATTATTATATTTTTTATTTATAAAAAAAATATTTTTATCTCCTCTTGAAGTAGAAACTTTCGTCAGAACTATAGATTAGCTATAGATTACTAAGAAGTAAGAAGATTTTTTAACTCTACTAACGATGATTGTTGAACTTATCATTGAATAGATGTAACATAAGAAACATATATTTTTCGAATACCATAAATAATAAAATATTTATTCGTGTATTAGAAATAGACTCATCTAGATCTAAGCGTAATACATTTGAACATAAATTTTTAATCTTCAAAAAATATTGAGAAATTGATAGATCATCTTGGATAGTATTTATCAAATCATTCTTCAAATACTAAAGCCGAATCTTTTTTTTTTTTTTAATGTATCAAGAGTGATCCAAATCACTTAAACTGATTTACAACCAATAACATATTCAAAACGATCATGAGAAATAGATTTTTTAATATAAATTTAGTTTTTTTCATTTAATGTCCTCTATCTCTTCATGGCGTCTCCTTCATCCCATAGTTAGATCGATTGAAAAGTTCAATATCAAATCCACTAATGCAACTATAATAATCTATAATCGAAAAGGTTATCTTTTTCATCAAGAAAATCTTGAAATATAGATTATCACCCCTGGTATTCTGTTATCATATGAAAAAAAAAAAAAAAGGAGAGATCACATTCAAAGTACAGTCCTTTCTCAAATAATAATAACAAGGTACCATTAGTTTAAGATCTAAGTCAAATATAAGAAGAATAAACCATGACGAAAAAAATATTATATTGAACTTTTAAAAAAAAAAAAATTATAGAGATCTTAAATTATTCTTAGACCTCGAGACTAAATACTTACTTGAGACTTGAATGAATCTTTACATATAGATATCATATATTTATAGATATAAAATATAATTTAAATCAAGAGTGTCTTATCCTTATAATTTTATTTAATAAATCTAATTTAAAAAATAAGATAATAATTTAAGGTCTTCCAAAGATATATTTGAACTTTTAACACCGCCAACCTCATCAACTTTGCTACTGCTAAGATCGAGGAAGGTTGGGGGTGGCGTGTCAGCTTGGCCCTCGCCGCTGTGCCGGCCGCCATCACCACCATAGGCTCGTTGCTCCTCCCTGACACTCCCAACTCCCTCGTCGAGCGTAGGCACAACCAGAAGGCCAAGGCTATGCTCCGAAGGATCCGTGGCACCGATGACATCGACGAGGAGTACAAGGACATGGTTGCGGGCAGCGAGGAGTCGAAGACGATCGAGCACCCTTGGAGCAACATAATGCAGAGGAAGTATAGGCCTCAGCTCACCGTGGCCGTCCTCGTCCCCTTCTTCCAGCAACTCACTGGCATTACCGTCATCATGTTCTATGCCCCGGTGTCGTTCGAGACCATCGGCTTCGGCGATAATGCCTCCCTCCCTCATGTCCGCTGTGATCAGTGGCCTCGTCAATGT